CAGCATATTATGTGCAAGACACAGTCTAAGTAAGTTGTTAGGTATGTGAGTAGTTAGTATGTATAGTAAGAATGTAAAGACTAAGAAGGTAAGTTAACAACTTGGTTAAAGTAGTAGCAAGGTAAAAGTAAGAACTAGGCAGGTAGGTATGTTATTGTTAAGTAAGTAGATATAGTAGGCAATTATAATTTAGATATGAAAAAGCTTTTGAGTTTAGTTTTAATGTTTTTTTGTGAAATATTTTTCGCGTAAATCGTAAGGTAAATTTTTTATTTATTATTGGTAGTAGCTGGTTTTCTAACACTACTGACTAGCAGCTATTAATCTACTAAAACTAGTTGATTTTATCACTTGTGTAACTGCGAATATCAGTTACCACTTTCTGCGATTAGCTATCACTTTCACTATATGTAACTGCGAATTTTCAGTTACCACTTTTTTCGGCTAGCTAACACTTTTTCACTCTATGTAACTGCGAATTTTCAGTTACCATTTTTTTCGGCTAACTATCATTTTTTTACTATATGCAACTGCGAATTTTCAGTTGCCATTTTTTTCGGCTATGTGTGACTGCGAATTTCAGTTACGACCTTTTCCGGCTAGCTAACACTAATTCACTATCACTGTTCACTATGTTCTGCCACTAGTTACTTCAGCTACTACCGGATACTACTGCTTGTCACTGGTAGTTCTTCCTACTACAACGTTACTGGGTTTCGCCCCCATAAGGTAGACTTCGGCTATACTGTATAGTGAGCCGCTTGCCATTTTCCGTTTTGCCTCTTTATTTTAAAACATTTTACATAAGGTTAAATCTTACACTAATATGCTAAACATCATTAAATCGGCATTTTGGTCCTTTATCAGTATATGATAAAGGTTATTCGATATATTTACATTTAAAAAAGTTATTAAACGAAATATCCCAAATTTTCATAACAAATGGGTACCTACATTAATTCTTTAATTTTTCTGTAACTACCAAATGTGTTTAATTATACAAATTATTTCTTCACTTTCGTAATCTATATACCATATGCTAACTAAATGTCATATTTACAACTCTTTTAGAACACAAAATTATTTACATTATTTTTAGTATAAACTATTGCGCAGTTAATTAAATTTCCAGAAAGTTCTACGATACGACGCGCTGTGATTGGTCGATTTTTTCTTAAACAATTAAAATTGTTTAATATTAACTATTATTAAAACGACATTCTATACAAATATATTAAGAGTTGTAAACACACTGTAAAACTATATTAACAAACTATTTACTCGATTTCGTTGGTAATTTCACTTTTTATACAAAACAATATTCTTTCATCACTTTGTTTCTTAAAGTCCTTAGGCCGTCGCGAACAAATATGAGGCTGTAAGTAAATCTGCACATGCGTGTTACGGCAGTCGGTGTGATGTTTTCCAAGCAGTTTCTTATGTCACAAGTAATAGTATCCTTTGGACCGAATTTCGGTCATGGCGGCCAGTCTTGACGGAGACTATCTGCGCAGTACAGGATTATAGTGCCCAAGTGTATGCACAAGCACAGGAGCACTCTTTATTCCCTCAATCTCATAATTCGACACGACCGGAGAGAGATCAGACGCAGCTCCTACGTACCTAGTACCTCGTGTTAGTTATATCACAACAATTAAACTGCTGTAAACGCCACGAGTACGTGCTGTGCATACAGGCTGTGTTAACACGGGCTGTACAAGGAACCTAAGCGATATGATGCCTTTCATACAGTAAGTACCTTTTACCTACCTATGACATACGGTAACTGTGCTGCACCCATAAAGACAATATTCAACAACAATAGAAATAATGTTCTGGGAACTAATAAATATGCATATTTATTGCCCCTCTCCTTATTTTTTTTTCTTATATTACGTCACAGTTAAAACTTTGCTTATAATGAAATATAATATTCTTGTTTTTTTTTGTTAGAACAAATCTGTATTGTGTACAACTATCGCCATCTAGTAGTGAATTGCAGAACAACGTAGGCGTAATAAGACATGCAACAACAATAGAAATAATGTTTTGGGAACTCATAAATATGCATATTTATTGCCACTCTCCTTATTTTTTTTTCTTATATTACGTCACAGTTAAAACTTTGCTTATATTGAAATATAATATTCTTGTTCTTTTTTGTTAGAACAAATCTGTATTGTTTACAACTATCGCCATCTAGTAGTGAATTGTAGAACAACGTAGGCGTAATAAGACATGCAACAACAACAGAAATAATCTTTTGGGAACTCATAAATATGCATATTTATTCCCTCTCTCCTTATTTTTTATCATATTATGTCACAATTAAAGCGTAAAACTTTGCTTGCAATGAAATATAATATTCTTGTTTTTTTTTTGTTAGAACAGATCTGTATAGTTTACAACTGTCACCATCTAGTAGTAAATTATAGAACAACGTAGGCGTAATAAGTACTAATAGAGTAATTAGTAATTACATATATACGTATGCATAGAGAGAACCTACAATTTTATGTAAATTGAATCAATATACTAGTCTCGCTTTTTCTAATTTAATTTTCAAATAAGGCAAAAAGAGCCAATCTATTGAAAGATGTAGCGTGTAATTCATGCGTGAAAATAGAAATGTCAAATGGTCATCTTTGGTCTCTTTATAGGTACTATGCCAAATATGAGAGTAAGTGCGCTCGTATCTTCTGATTTACGAGATAAATGACATCCCTATTGTAGTAGTATTATTAGTCCAGTCAAATAAGGTCTGAAATAAAAATTTTGACACTCAACTTTGCATTATTGATATGTAGTTGTATTTCGGCAGGTGTGAATGTATACATGTATAAATTCTTTTTCAAATCCTAAGTCGTATCTATATAATATGTTGTGTTGTCTCGAGTTGAAAAGAGAGGACTATTGCTTACTCGTATACTACTATACGAGGTCCGAGTAAGAGTGAGAATGGCAGAGAATGGCATCATTGGAGAAATTCTCTATCTACGTCAGAGAATCACAATTCTTGCACTCTCTCTATTTTACGATCTTTTCATTAAAATAGATCAGGTTATTTTTGCCTACTTGGTGATTGAATGCAAAATCATGAAGTAATAATTTTTTAACATTATTAACTTTAGTAAAGAGATGATGCTTGTTTTCCCCTTTTTTTGAAGATAGTGCTTGTTGTGTCTCAGCTAGCAAACGCATGTGCAAAAAGCAAAAATGATTTTAAATTTCGGTTATTCTGCATTGATTACAGAATATTTGCATTTCTTCCTGGACTTTTTTGCTAAAATATATGATTTCAGAAAATAGATGAAGAAAGGGAAATTAACAAAATTACTTACTAATTCGACATCATTTCCAACTACCGTAACAGGTTGATTTGCAGATTTTGCTTTCAATACAATAGCTGTTCTAACAATCAAAAGATCTGCATGTTCCTCGGCAATACTACTGTTAACTTGTTTCTTCTTCCTGTTCCAAATCATTACAAATCAACAAACTTCTGTTTGTTTGCAATGTTTGAAAGGAATTTGGTTTCAAAAAGTTATATACATGTAAGTCAATGGAAAAAAGAACGTTTTATTATACAACGAATATTATATTAATATATAACGAATATTAAAACACTGTTTTACCAAACATTAATTAAATTGTTATAAGATTATTATTATTCTATAACTGAAATATTAGGTAATAGGTACCTATGGTAATATAGCTGATGTCGCGTATTCGCATCTTTGCAGTATATATACAATAATACAAGAATTTGGGACAAAAATACTTAATCGTTTTGTCAGCTTTTGGCGCTTCTTCTCATAAGGTCTCCCGCAGTAGAGTCTTGTAGAAGGCCAATTTCTGAATTAAAAATATTTTAACTTTGATATAAGTAATATGAAAGTAACGATCTTTTGGAAAATAAAAGAAACTATTATTATTAATCGCCGAGATACTAATATAGTATCTGCTGTTAAGTAACACGGGTAAGTAATAAATATATTATGATGTAACTAGCTGGTACCCGGCGCATCGCTGTCGCAGAAGAAATAATTGTGGGAAATATGGTTTTAAATTTGGAAGAATTACATTGTCTAATTAGGAATGATAATACATTAATCGAAACCCTAAATACCTTTTGGAATAAATTTGTCGGTTCGATATGCGCGCCACCTACTGTAAGTTAATTAAATTATGCCTATAACCTTCGCGCAAGTGCAAGAAATGTTGACAAAGTTTTACCACAGAATAAATAAGAGTACTACGCAATTTTACCGCAATCTGACGAACAGTATGGCAGCGCATAAAATACGAACAAACAGACATTCATTTTTCTATATTAGATTAACTCTCTCTCCTTATGGCGCTACGTTAAAAGTTATTAAATATTTAAAAACTGTCAAATTAATCATACGCATATTAGTGCTATCATTATCATTTATCATCATCACCATCATCATTATTACAGTCAATTATAAGTCCACTGCTGATTAACTGAACATAGGCCTTCGCCAAAGATTGCTACAAAGCACGGTCCTAAGTCACCTGCACCCAACGACTCCATACATCATTCATGAGGTCGTAACTAAATTTTTTTTATATAACAATGGTGAAGAACGAGAACACAAAGCCCACCTGATGGTAATTGGATACTCTGAACCATAGACATCATCTATATTTATCCCCAAAGAATCAAAATGCAGTTGCGTTGTCACCCCTAAAAACTAAGGATGGAATACCTCGTATCCATTAAAAGAGGTCTCCGGTTCTCTACACTCACCATACGAAACACAGCACAGCATTAAGCTGCTATTTTACGCTGGTATTCTGTGGGAGTGTAGGCCTTCCCCGGTCTAGCCAAACATTTCGTGATACAGCCATAATATAACTACAGTATGGCTCTACTACGAAAAATTGTGGGGTCCGTCCAACACTGCATTTAGTATGTGGATACCACTCGCGTTTTTTTTAATAACTATAAATAACTGATATTCAAAATCTAATAGGTGAATTGGAGGTCACACGTGGTAGATAAGAAAGTGTACATGAGTCACGTATCTGAGAGGTTCCACGAGGGTTACCCAGGTGCAGTGATGGTCCAAATCTCCTTCGAGGTTACTTGCGACAACACTATCAACATTGAGATGAGATGTACTACCACAGAGCCAACTATCGTTAACCTTAGTAATGCTCCGTACTTCAATCTAGCTGGTCATGTAAGTCAAATATCGGTATAACTAGATATTCCATACTTTTTTTTTTCTTCATAAAAGTAGATATAGATAACCAACGAGAATACATTCTATCTAAGAAGAATACATACCTACTATGTAAGAGGATGTTGTCACCCATATTTTTTTTATAGAATAAGATTGACAAACGAGCACACAGTACACATGATGGTAAGTGGATGTTGTAGCACATGGGCATCTAAATTCATCCCCGATTGGGAATCAAAATGCAGATGTGTTGTCACCCCTCAGTACTTTGATGGAACGCCTCGTTTCCAGTAGAAAGGGTCTCCGGTCTCTTCACTCACCATACGAGCAGCAGCATTAAGGTGCTATTTCTAAAGTTAATATCACAATAGCTTAATGTAATTATATAGAATTGACAAAAAATAACAGATACATTGGTGACTGAAGTATTTCTATGATTTATTCAAAAATAAGAACATTATAATTTTGGAGTTCATCATGTCATAGCAAACCTTTTTGAACAGTGGTAGAGCCACGCGGCAGCTTTTGCTGTCGCACGGATGGGCCGGCTCGAACCGGGGTAGTACCACGACCTCACAGAAAACCAGCGTGAAGTAGAGATTTACCTCTGCGTTTCGCTTGGTAAGTGCAGGTGGCCGGAGGCCCTTTTTACTGGAAATGAGGCATTCCATCTTAGTCCTCACGGGTGACAACGCATCTACATTTTGATTTGTAATAGAGGATAGATGTAGATGTCTATGGGCCGCAGCAACCACTTACCATCAGGTGGACTGTGTGCTCGTTTGTCACCCTTATTCTATAAAAAAAAACCTGAGCAAATAAGCATCACCTGTTCACAAGCATGGCGCATGTGACCTTTGACCTTCTCGACTATATGGAAGTGGATGACCTGTCACACAAGCATGCCCAATTAAACAAGATGAAAATTATATTATAATCAATTTAGTAAGAGTGAAATATTTGTGTCTTTCAGCACACGGGTTCGGAGTCGATGCACGAACATATTATCACAGTTAACGCTGACAAATATACACCAGTAGACGAAGAAGGATTAGTTACAGGTGAGATATAATATGTTCTGTTGTTGAGTGGCTGATTCGTTTGCGAGTTTTTCTTGTTGAGACTTTTTTTTATGATCGCGCAGAAATAATTTAAAATAAAATTTTTGTACAACCAACTTCAATATAAATTATTAAGAATAACTCAAAAACTATTGGTCAGACCTCAATCAAATCGGGACGGGACCACATGTGGAGGTAACACACATAATAAAAAACGTACAGTCAAATTGAGTACCATCTTTTTGAAGTCGGTAGAAAAGCACACTTACGAACTCCCTCAGCGTCATCGTTTTATTATTGTAGATACAGCGTTCGAGATGACTGTTCCTGCATTGGTCGATGGCTTGATTTTTGTATATTAACCTTAGCCGGGCCTAGCGATTTTTTTATTGAGTGTTGACTTGGCTAGATTATACGGATATAATAAGAACAATACTATGTTTTTTTTCTGTTTCAAGACCAACCTTATGAAGTCTAAGAGTCTAATATAATGTGTAATTGAGACATATGTATGTGGCGAATCATTTGTTAAGATTTCTATACGGTCAACATCCATCACACTTGTAAGTCATCTTATGCTTTGTCGATGAAACCTCTTCCTCCTCAGATGATTCATCTTCCGATGATACATACATTTCTTTCTAAGTTTCTTCAATTTCTGGTTTCTGGGTCTTCTCAAAAGATCAACAGTGTAAAAAGGATATCTAAGATACCCGTTTGCTCAGTTATAGTAGATTTTTACATTAAATACCATTTATAAAGATATAGTCTTTATAATAATGCAAGGTAGCTTGTAGGACAGTGGCCAAATGGAGGCCATATTTCTTCTTATCAAATGGACAGTTGTCATACGAGGACCACAAATTTTGACAGTATTTATCTCCGAAATTATAAATACTATGATAAAATATAAAATAATACAAATATACAAAAAATATATTTATATCTATACAAATAAATAAAAGTGAAGTGTCTGTTTGTAATATGAAACTAACAGCTTTTAACTACCTAAAGGCATATGAAAATACATACGTTACTTATAACAAAAACACACATGTGATCACTGCATGGCTAAGGGTTAAATATGGTATTTAGCAATAAAGAATTATTTGTAAAATAATATGCCTTCCATTTTTCATTTAAGTAAGAGTGACAATGGAGCATACAGTCATCTGCTGATCTGACACTCGCGAACAAAGAACTTTAAACAAAAAAGACTACTCATATGCAGTAATGCCTCAGGACTAAGATCGAATGCTTTACGTTCTGTGATTTAGACTGGTTTTATTATTTTGATCTATTTGGCAACAGTAATAGTAAGAGGTAATGATTAAAATTAAGAACACAACAGCGAGCAACTTATCTCCTGAGCTCATGTATCTGGAAATGATAGTTTTCAACGCATAAAGGGCAATGTAAAAGTGAAAGATCGAGACGACCGTATGAGAGAGGGAAAGAGTAGACGTATGGCGATTTGTGAAGACGTAAGACGCATAATATGAAGAAGGCGTATAAGTAGTTATAGTTAATCCTTTATAACCTACGATATATCTATTAATAAATTTACCAATTGATTTCAGGAGAAAAAAAAGTAGTAGGTGGTACCCCATATGACTTCCGAGTGCCGCGCAGCATGAAAGCCATGCTGCCCAAAATTCCAATGGGCGGGTACGATGTCAACTTTTGCATTACTCAGGGCACTGCGCAGGATATCACTTTCCATGCAAGGTAAAAGCAACAATACAAACACTTTTCTGAGTTCTAAATATAATAATTTTGTCTTAATAACCAAGCCGGCGAGTAAAAGGCGTAAAATCTTTTCGGTTTGAAAAACTTTTAAAGATTGTTATTTTATATTTTGTATCCGATCAAAGAACCAAGTTGTCGTTATGTAAATGATGGTCCTAATGTTTCAGAGCTCTACATCCTCACTCAGGGCGGGTCTTAGAGGTGTACAGTAATCAGCCTGGCTTGCAGTTCTACACCGGAAACCTGCTTCCAGACCCTGAAAAAATCGTAGAGGTTAGTTAGCAATTCTTCTTCACCAGTTCTTTTGACAATTGCAGCACCTAACGTCTAGGGCCTCCGCTACAGGTTTGGATATTTCTACATTTGGTTTTTTTTTATTGGAGTTATGGTGACAAACGAGCACAGTCTATCTGTTGGTATGTGAATGCTGTGGGCCATAGACACTTACATCTATCCTCGATTTAGGATCAAAAATCATTATACGTGGTAGAGTCATGCTACAGCTATATTAGTAGTATAGTTGTAGCACAAATGGGTCGGCTCCACCGGAGAAGAACCACGCTCTCACAGAATACCAGTAGAATACCAGTAACACTCACCATACGAAACGCTGCAGCATTAAGCTGCTATTTCACGCTGGTACTCTGTGAAAGCATAGTCCATCACCAGTCGTGCTATAACCATAATATAGTTGTACCATGGCTCTATCACGTATAAAAATACGAGTTGGTATCAACGCCATCTATTGGATACCAGTAGATTTTCTTAGTATTCCGCATTGTTTTGAACTGATTCGCGACGGGTTCGTGCCACGGCACTTCACGAGCGTTATTTACATAATAATTTAATATATATTTTGAGCCCTTGTTGCAAGCTATTTTTTAATTCAAGTTTTTCACTTTTGAAATAAGATTAATTAAAATTTAATCTTTTAATTTTGTAAACGAATTAGTAAGCTAATGTGGCAATGGGCCGAGCATATAATAATATATAACTCGAAGAACGGACAACCGGTGGGACAGAGATTCTCGAGTTGCAGCCTCGTATCGTCAACCGAAGGATTTTGCGGCCCTCCACTAGATAGAGTGACGATAGAAGATATGCATGAAGTTGATGGATGCAATTGCCTTAGGAGTTTAGGACCGTATCTTGTAGCATACCTTGGAAGAGGTATACGTTGAGCACTAGACTTGTTGTGATAATGTAATATTGATGGTGATGATTTTGTAAACTATATTTAGCCGCTAGAGTTGCCTTGGGTTGGAATGAAAATCAGTGTCATCATCGCGGCCGGTTCATTTCGTAGTCTCATGTTTGTGCTGTGCTGCAGCACAAGTTTTTTAAGACAACTTCATTTATTTATTTATTTATTATTTATTGTGACACCTTACAGCTAAGGTAACAATGGGCGGACTTAATGCCTCTCGGCATTCTCTGCCAGTCAACCCGTAGAGAACTATTTATTTATATTTATGAAATGGTTAATACTTTGTCTTTTGTTTCTATGATTACTTTTTATATTTTGGCGCTGTATGCTTTAACTGAAAAAAGAAATACAAGTAGGGAATGCCGATTATTTTGTTCATTGAAAAATTAATGTTTTAATATATGTTTTAAAAGATGTTGCCTGGCGATGAGAAAGAAAGCGTTGAAGACGAATCAGGTCCAAAGGAGCATAGCGAGAGCGAGAACGAGTCGGACAGTGTGTCGAGTGAAGATGAGGAAGAAGCGAGTGAAGATGGAAGAGAGGTGATTGGTTTTTATAACAAGCTTAATGGTTAAAAAACTTTTTTTTTGAAACCCGACCTGCTTTAAAAATTTGCGTATAAGACCTACCATCTTAGTCCTCAGAGGTGACAGTGCTTCAATAGTCTTCTTTATTTGAAGTTGGCTACAGGTGTCTATGGACTGCATTAGCCACTTATCATCAGGTGGACTATAAGTTCGTTTGTCACTTCAGTTTTATAAAAAAAAGGGTTACACAGTATTCCAAGAATATCCTTTACATTATATTGTATGATTTTAAATCCTGAATTTCACCAGGGCGTGGAACGATACGGTTACGTGCCATTAACAGGAAAAGGTGGGACAATTTACAAAAAACATGGACTGTTTTGTTTATTACCGCAAAATTATCCGGATGCTATAAACCATGTAAGTAATTAAGAAAAAAAATTAAACACGCAAATTTTTCATGTTTACGCTTAAGTATTTGCACACATACATGCACGCATGCACACACACACATTTTATTTTTAGTTGTTATTAAGAAGACGCTGTTGCCCAGTTTTTGGTTTTCCCTCTGTCGCTTATTACGACATCCACTTGAGGACTCTGGAACGTCTACTAAGAGGGGCACACTGAAATGATCGGGAATAGGATATTTCGGATTGAGTTACAATAAAACCTTTTTTAGAATTTGAATACTAGCCTCTTAGAATCTTAATGACATTTAAACAATTAAAAAAGAATTTAATAACAAAAACTATGTTGGTTTAAAGTTGACACGTCGTTAACAGAAATGGAGCTCACGCGTGAACATTTCCGTGCCATAATTTATCACAATTTTATCTCAAGATAAATGTCTCGGCGAACTTGTTTCGATTTATGATGTTGAAGCACCGAGTCAAACGACAATATACGAGGGAAGTCAAATGCCTTTTATAATATCGTCTCAGGTGCCGAATCATGGATTTATTCATACGAACGTGCAAGAAAACATCAGTCAGCAATTTGGGTCTTCGAAGACGATGTCAAACCAACGAAAGTGGTTCGCTCCCGCAGCGTGTCAAAGAAAATGGTCGCTACGTTTGTCTCGAAAAAGGGGCATGTTGCTACAATTCCTTTACAGAAACGGTTACCGCTGAGTGGTATATCACGGTTTGTTTACCAGAAATGATAGCCGAACTCCGAAAAAATAACCCGAAACGCCGCATCATCTTACATCACGATAATGCGAGCTCCCATACGGCTCGGAAGACGAATGATTTTTTGAAGCAGTAAAACGTTGAGCTGATGAGCCATCCTCCGTATAGTCCTGACCTGAGCCCAAACGATTTCTTTACATTCCCTAGAATGAAAGATTTATTACGCGATCAACGGTTTGAAGTCCCCGTAGCAGCTATGGAAGCGTACAAATCAGCCATTTTGTCAACATCAACTTCAGACTGGAATTACCTACTGTTTTAATGGTTAGTTTGCACGAATGGAAAAGTGCATTAAGTTGAACAGAGAATACTTCGAAAAACAATAAAATACAAAAAAAAAATAGCTATACCGTGCATGTGGTTTTTCTTATTCTTTTCAGTGTGCCCCTCGTACTTATGTGAGGAGTTATCTGTAAACCTATAATTATTATAAGTATAAAATTATACTACTATTTTTCTGGCGTATCCTATACACTATATACTAGATATGGGACGAAATTTGATGATTCATTTAGGCCGCCACCATGGTGCGATCGGTGAAAAATTAATGCTTTATATTTTATGTTATTACGTTTATTAAGAACCATGTAATATCTTGTTTTAAACGTGCTAGAGCCATGCTGCAGCTATATTAATAGTATAGTTGTCGCACGAATGGGTCGGCTCGACCGGGGAAGGACCACGCTCTCTCAGAATACCAGCGTAAAATAGCAGCTTAATGCTGCTGTGGTTCGTATGGTGAGTGTAAAAAACCGGAGACCCTTTTTACTGGAAACGAGGCATTACATCTTAGTGCTCACGGGTGACAACGCATCTGCATTTTGATTCATAATTGAGAAAAGATGTAGATGTCTATGTGCCGCAACAACCACTTACCATCAGGTGAACTGTGTGCTCGTTTGTCACCCTTATTCTATAAAAATAAAACTATTATAATCACCACTATTCACATCGAAAATTTCAGAAAAACTTCCCCAACTCGGTGCTTAACCCAGGAGAGGTCTACATCCACAAGATACAATATAAATTTGGTCTTCTGCTTGGAAAATACGTATAAAATTTAAAGATGTTATATTTTAGTATACAAAATTAATTATGACAATTTTTGACAAATATACATTATTTTAAAAAAACTGATATTTTATTTATTATTTAGTTTTTTAACAATTTATGTACACAAAAAGTAATGTTACAATGAACAATGAAAAATAAAGATATTTTGTACAAAGGCACTGCTTATTTCATATTGAAATATCTTTCAGCAGGCCTGATACTGGACAAATTCAAAGAGAAGCGGATTTAGCGTGCACTCTCATGATAAATTTTAGAATATTAATATACCTAATATAAAGTTAATAAAAACATACATCCATACAAACATACATATACCTAAATACTATACTATATACATATATATAATAAATACATATAGATACATATATATATATATACAAGTTATACATTAGATCATTGTGACCACAAAGAAAGATAGTGCTGTTTAACTCTCCTTTTAAACACTGGAGCTGTTTGAGCCTCACGAATTGCAGCAGGAAGAGAATTCCACAACCTAACTGCAAGAGTGAAAATAGGACTTAGTTTTTAAATGTGATCTGCAAACTACATCGTTTAATTTTATTGGGGCTTCGCAAGCAAATTATCGTTCGTAGTACAACATCCCGCTCGATTGTGATCCCCGTTGACAGTCTGTGCTATTTAAGCCAGAAAGATTCAAACGAATTTTATTTTTTTCTAGATTTATTTAGGAATTATTAAGGAGGAAGAAGAAATGACAGTAACATCAAAAAAAGCACTTTTAATTCAGGCTAGACGGCTGCCCGCGAACATGTAATTTCTATTTCGAGATTTAGTCATTGTCACATACCTAGTGCTACCACAGAATAAATAAGTGCTACCTACTTTAAACCAGAGTATTTGATATACTCTAAGGACGTAGTTACATTTTTGACGTACCCGAATTTACATATTCGAATTGCAAGCTTACACATGCGCAGAAAACTGTTGAAACAGCTTTCCGCTATAATTTTTTCTTTATCAGCGTGTAAAAGTTTACTGATGAATGTACACATGGATGCACCTAAAATCATGTTAATGGTTGCAAATGATTTTAGATGTATACATATGTACGTGAGTGCGTGTTTTTGCAATAAGGTGAACATGGTTTGGCTTTGTTTTTGCCTTCCTTGAAATGTACGTAGCGCTCCGTTTTTCTATTTGTGTAACGGTACTTGAAGTATTATAGTAAACTTAGTTGGCTTAAGATTTATACAACCAAAAATCCTTTTTTGATTGCTTCTTCGGGTTCCATATTCGAATCATGAGCATTTCACTTCTAAATTACCAGGTCCATATTTCACGTCTGGACTAGTACCCAGAAATGAAAATTTGTGGTAGGTATATATGTAAACTACAGTCATGTATGTTGACATTTAAGGCCCTCTCTAATTCTCGGGACGCTTTACGCTCGTTGTTCCTGCTATCTTTTATAGATGCTTAAATCGCAGTTACTCAGTAATTGCTCAACAAGGTGAGCACAGTTGTATTTTCAAGCCGCTTGCAAAGTCTGGCAAGCCATGAAGCTGTCAAGTTTTCTTCTAGTTTTCAAAAGCTAGTTTGCATTGTAAAACAGTGTTCCTTTCAATATATTTTTTTTTATAGGATAAGAGTGACATACGAGCACACAGCCCACTTGATAGTAAGTGGTTTCTGTAGCCCATAGACATCTAAATCTATTCTCGATTACGAATCAAAATGCAGACGCGTTATCACCCGTGAGGACTAAGGTGTAATGGCTCGTTTCTAGTAAAATGGGTCTCCGGGTCTCTAAACTCATCATACGAAACACAGAAGCGTTGAACTGCTATTTTACGCTGGTATTCTGTGAGAGCGTGGTTCTTCCCCGGTCGAGCCAATTCATTCGTGCTAAAACTATACTACTAATATAGCTGCAGAATTGCTCTACCACGTAAAAATTTTCAATTATGGGAACTTCACCAACTGTAATATAAGTTCAAGTATTTATACGTATAAGTTCGTGGCCTGACAAACACCTTTTACCTGTTGAACCCACAAAATTTCTTGAACGACACATTATTGGTGGTTCAGTTTCTTTGTTTCCTGAACATGTGACAGAATATAAATTTTTCTACCCGTTCAGGTAGTTCAGGATTTCTTTACTGAGCTGGTCACCAATTGTCGCAGCGTTAGAAGAAGCATCGTAGCTTGTGCCGTATGAACGTTTATTCAACATGCGTCTGCAATTACGACTATCATTGGTATTCCTTGAAACTACATATTTCTGATGAGTTTTTTTACATGCTCCACTTCTTCCCTAGCCTCACTCACCATTGGCAAACTTAATTACGCGGTGCTTCATACAACCGCATAGGTACGGTGGGATATCTCCATAGGCAAGAACAATATGAAGCTGGATATATCCAGCACCAGTAGATATAATTCCTGCTATAACTTCATCTTCTTCATTCATCGCTTTTATTCTTTCTATTCTGTACTTTGTATTATTTCATCCTTCTGCTCCTCCCTATCTAAAGGAGAAGTTTTATTTTGTGGGGCTTCCGGGGAACCTCTACGCTCTTCTAGAACATTCATTTTAAGGGTACCAACTCACAAAACATAATTTTTTAATAAATCTTTTACTGTCCAGTCTATTAAGCTCTAGAATGCCCTACCCTTGCATATACGTGAAGCACAATCTATTGTAATCTTTAAGCGATTACTTAAAGATAATTACTTGTTGCAATCGTTCGGAGACCGTTAGGATAAATTGTGATTATGTATTTATTGTATTTTTCAGCTTTATATTATTGTTTGAGGAATTTTGTAATTTATTTATTTATTTTGGGTAGATATGGAAGTTTGTTTATATATTCATATATGTATACATTATGGTATATGTATACAATATGTTATTAAAATGTTCTGGAAGCTCGTAAGAACTGCTAGGGGAAATCAAAACAGCCTAGAATGAACGCTATACGAGACGAGAATGGCTGCATGCTGAATGATGAAGTTTCGAATTTAAAGAGATGGAAGGAATACTTTGAAAGCGTGTTTAAAGTGAAGAGTCGTCTGAAGTAAGTGAAATAGAAATTCCGGAAGAAGTGGAGAGAGGTAGGGAGATAAGTGTAGATGAAATAATGAAAGCAATGAAAAGCATGAAAGCAGGTAAGGCAGCCGGATATGATAGAGTATCACTGGAAATGCTAAGGGCTGGAGAGGGTGTGGTTGTAGGCCTGCTGTACACCTTGTTTAATTTATGTTGGGAACTGAAGCGGGTACCGGAAGACTGGTGCAAAGTCGTTATAGTCCCAATATATAAGGGAAAGGGGTCGCAGTAGGACTGTAAAAACTACCGTGGTGTCAACTTGCTTAGTATTGTGGGTAAACTGTATGCGAAGGTGTTAATTGAAAGAGTTATAGAAGAAACTGATGGAAAAATTTGGGATGTGCAAGCTGGATTTAGAAAGTGAATGGGGTGTACGGATCAAGTCTTTTCTGTGCGCATGATTGCGGAGAAATTTTTGGCCAAATACCAAAAAGTGTTTTGTGCGTTCATGGACTTGGAAATGGCTTATAACAGAGTGGACAGGAACGTGTTATGGCAAACACTGACCTCATTTGGGTTGAGCGCTGGTTTGATACAGGCATTAAAGTCTCTTTATAGGGACTCTAGTGCTTGTGTCAGGATCAACGGGGTCTACTCGGACTGGTTTGGCATTCAAAAACGTGTCAGACAGGGCTCTGAACGAAAAGTCGGGAAAGGACGCCCTAGACGAAGATTTATCAACCAAATCGGCGATACATTGAAAATGGGCCAGATTAGGAAAACCCTTAACCGACGAGCGTGTATGCGTAGATATATGGATGTAAAGGAGGCGAGAGAGGTGTGTCAGGATCGCGCCAAATGGAAGTCCGTAGTCTCTGCCTACCCTTCTGGGTGACAGGCGTGAGTGTTTGTGTGTTGTGCTTTACTTTATCTTTTATTATGTATTAGTAATTTATATCATTTCATTTGTTAGTTTTTTATATGCTATTTTATTGCATTTATTGTCATTTTACTAATTGTATTGATATTATATTTTGTATATTTATATTGCACCACCTACCTAGTATTCATTGTTTTATTCCTTTACACATTTGGTTGCCTGGAAGAGATCGTTATGTAGTGATAAGGCCGCCAAATTGTACATTTAATCTGTCTTTTGTTATGTAATTTGTATATTTGTTTGTAGTGTACAATAAAGTATATTCCTTCATAACTTTCTGATTTATGCCAATTTTAGTATCACCTTAGAGCCCTTTTTCGAGCTTTAAATTCTGAACACACATTTTGCAAAGAAGTTTATCATTTCAATGAAGGCCAGCTCTTATTTCTTTATTAACACTGCTGCTCAAGATATTTCAATCATTTCAGCTCCTGTAGTTAACATTAGTACCTAAAGTACAATAATGAAACAAAATCTCATTACTTTTAACCTTTTCCGTTCTTATCTCATCGGCACTTGTGATTTTCTTGCTTTGCCTGAAGTTAAACCATAAACTAGTTAGAACACAAACCTTGTTACTTATGTGTAATCAAGCATACTTATTATACCTAGCTAGTAAAAAATACATTTACCAAAATCTAAAACAAATGATCTTAATTATTTCGTTTTCTTTTATTTGTTAAAAATAGCTTGGTTTTATTTCCCATTACGTCTAAACCATAACTTGTTGTCTTGTGACACTGTAAGTTCTTAGAAAATCAAGAACTGAACAAACTAGCAAGTTTTACTTTTATTATATCTTTTCAAGATACTGTCCATCTACATCAATACTTCACTGCATCCGATGGAACCACTGAGAAAAGCACTTTGCCCACTCGTCCTTAGGGGTCTCTTCAACGGCATTTTGAAACGCAGCCATTGCTTCCTCGGCGTCAATAAGATGTTTTACTCGAAGTTATTCTTTTATTTTTGGAAATAAATAAAAATCGCAAGGTGCGAGGTCAGAGCTATAGGGAGGGTGACACAGTAATTC